AAGACTTGGGAATTTTATAATGGTCATTCAATTTCAAAAAATTTAAAAAAGTACAAAATAGCCCTAACTGGTTTGGCTCAGCGGATAGAGCGATGGCCTTTGGACTCAAGGGTCCTGGGTTCGATTCCGGTCAAGGGCATGTACCTTGGTTGCGGGCACAACCCCAGTGGGGGGTGCGCAGGAGGCAGCTGATCAATGTTTCTCTCTCATCGATGTTTCTAACTCTCTATCCCTCTCCCTTCCTCTCTGTAAAAAATCAATAAAATATATTTTTTAAAAAAGTACAAAATGTTTATTGACATTCAGTAGTAAACTATGGAATGCTTTTGTCTTATCTAATTTTTTTGTGTGTAAAAGCACATATTTGATAATATTTTAAGATATTTGTGATGGCAAAATGCCTAACAAATTTATATACTTGGAATAAGTAGCTTCAAAAAATTTTTTGTTATTTATTTATTTTTTTAGAAATATGTTTTTATTGATTTCAGAAAGAGGAAGGAAGAGAGAGATAGAAACATCAATGATGGGAGAGAATCATCCAATATCTGCCTCTTGCATGCCCCCTACTGGGGATTGAGCCTGAAATCCAGGAATGTGCCCTGACCTGGAATTGAACTGTGACCTCCTGGGTCATAGTTTGATGCTCAACCACTGAGCAACACTGGATGGGCCATTTTTATTTTTTAATCATAGTTGACACACAATATGACATTAGTGTTAGGTTATTGGGCCTTATGTAACTTACTAAGTGATCATCCAGATAAACGTTATACCCATCTGACACCACACATAGTTATTACAATATTATTGACTGTATTCCCTATGCTGTACTTTATATCCCCATGGCTATATTGTAACAATCAACTTGTACTTCATAATCCCTTCACCTTTTTCACCGCCACCACCCCTCCCATCTGTTAGCTGTCAAATTGTTCTCTGGATCTATGAGTCTGTTTCTGTTCTGCTTTTTCATTTATTTTTTTGTTTTGTTTTGTTTTATTTGTGTGGTTTTTTGTTATTGTTGTTGTTGTTAATCACCACCTGAGGATATTTTTTTCTTTTTTAAATATATATATGATTTCAGAGAGAAAGGAAAAGGGAGAAAGAGATAGAAACATCAATGATGAGAGAGAATTATTGGTCGGCTGCTTCCTGTATGCCCCCTACTGTGGATCGAGGCTGCAACATGGACATGTGCCCTTGACGGGAATTTATCCTGGGACCCTTCAGGAACCAGGCTGATGCTCTATCCACTGAGCCAAACCAGCTAAGACATGAGGATATTTTTTTCATTGACTTTTTAAAGAGAGTGTGAAGGGATGGGGAGAGAGAGAGAGAGAGAGAGAGAGAGAGAGAGAGAAACATCTATGTGAGAGACATTGATTGGTTGCCTCCGGCATGTGCCCAGACCGGGGCTGGGGATTGAACCTGCAACCCAGGTATGTGCCCTTGACCAGGAATTGCACCCGTGACCTTTTGGTGTGTGGGCTGATGCTCTAACCACTGATAAACACCAGCCAGGGCTATTTTAAAATTTCAGTTGTTGATAGATATGTCTTATTGCCATTTTATTGTTCATATTTTTAATTGTTTTCTTCTTCTTAAAGAAGAGCCTTTAACATTTCATATAATACTGGTTTGGTGGTGATGAACCCCTTTAGCTTTTTCTTGTCTGGGAAGTTCTTTATATATCCTTTGATTCTAAATGATAGCTTTCTTGGGTGGAGTAATCTTGGTTGTAGGTCTTTGTATTTCATCACTTTGAGTATTTCTTGCCACTCCCTTCTAGCCTGCAAAGTTTCTGTTGAGAAATTGGTAACTAACTGCTTTTCTCTTGTTGCTTTTAAGATTCTCTGTCTTTAACCTTTTGTACCTTAATTATGATGTGTCTTGGTTTGGACCTTTCTAGGTTCATCTTGTTTGGGACTCTCTGTGCTTCCTGGACTTATATGCCTACTAGAGGCCCGTGCACCAGTGGGGTCCCTCGGCCTGGCCTGCACCTTCTCACAATCCGGAACTCCTCAGGGAATGTTTGACTGCCAGTTTCAGCCTGATCCCTGCAGGCCAGGCCGAGGGACCCCACCAGTGCACAGATCCATGCACCGGGCCTCTAGTATGCATATAAGATCTCTGGTTAATCTCTTCCCATCCTCCCCTCCTGCCCCTTTCCCTCTGAAATTCATTAGTCTGTTCCATGTTTCCATGCCTGTGCATTGAGCGTCTGCCCCCTGGTGGTCAGTGTGCATCATAGTTACCGGTCAAATGGTCGAGTGGTCAAATGGTCAAATGATCACTTAGGCATTTATATATATAGATTTCCTTCACAGGTTAGAGAAGTTTATTGTCATTATTTTTTCAAATAGGTTTTCAATTTCTTGTTTTCTCTCTTCTCCCTCCAGTGCCCCATGATGCAAATGTTAGTACACTTGAAGTTGTCCCAGAGGCTACTTACACTATCCTCAATATTTTCTGGTTTCTTTTTTCTTTTTGCTGTTCTGATTGGGTGGTTTTTTGTTTGTTTGTTTTTGCTTTCTTATATTCCAAATCGCTGATTTGATTCTCAGCTTTATCTACTCTACTGTTGATTCCCTGTAAGTTATTCATTTGTTAGTGTATCCTTTATTTCTGACATGGTCTTTCTTTTTTATTATTCCTTGCCCGAGGATATTTTTCCATTGATTTTATTTTAGAGAGAGTGGAAGAAGAGAAAAAGACAGAGAGAAACATTCACGTGAGAGAAACACATTGATTGGTTGCTTCCTACACATGCCCCAACCAGGGCGTGAGCTGGGGAGAAGCCTGCAACTGAGGTATGTGTCCTTGACTGTAATAGAACCCGGGACCTTTTGGTCACAGGCTGATGCTCTACCCACTGAGCAAAACCAGCTAAGGCCTCATTCTTTTTTATGGTTTCTATGTCCTTTTTCAGGCTTTTGAAGTTCTCACTAAGTTCTTGAGGTTCTCACTAAGTTCCATGAGCATCCTTATAACCATTGTTTTGAACTCTGTATCTGATAGTTTGCTTGCCTCCATTTCATTTAGTTCTTTTTCTGGAAATTTCTCCTGTTTATTTTTGTTTTGCTTTTTCATTTAGGACCTGATTCTTTGTCTCTGCATTTTGTCTGTTTTTTATGTGTTAGGTAGACCTGCTACATCTCCCAGTCTTGTTAGAGTGGCCTTGTTAGGTGTCCTGTAGGGTCCAGTGGTGCAGCCTCCCCAGTCACTTGAGCTGGGTGCTCCATGTGCGCCCCTGTGTGAACTATCCTGTTGTAGTTGAGCCTTGAGTGCTGTTGGCATCACTGGGAGGGATTGAGCCCCAGGCCTATAAGTTACCAGCTACAACTACAGCAGAGGAATTTCTGTTCAGGAGTTGAGCCTATAGAGCGGGACTAGCTTCAGTGGGGCTTTGGTGCTCACCAAGTCCACCCCTCGAGTGTGTCACTTGTGGAAGTGGTAGGGTTGTAATCTGGTGTAGTTTGAAGCTGTCCACCAGGTGCAAGGTCAGCCCATGCCTGTGCCTTCCCTGGGGCCACCTGGCACAAGCTACAGAGCGATATGCAGATAGCCACTTGTGCTGGGCTTGGAGGTACCCAGGAGATGCTAAGCTGCCACTGTGCCAGGCTTGGGGTAACTTATTGAGAGGTAGAGGGTACACAGAGGCCAGATCTGCTTGTTTGAGAGATTTTAGAAAAGTCCAAATCATGAAGCAAGAAAGGCCATTTGTATGGAAAAGCCACTTGGAAATGGCTTGGGTGGGCCCACAAGTTGGGCGGGGCAGGATCTCAGGAAATCATCAGGTGGGGCAAAGAGTGTGGACCTGGTTGAGGGAGACTCATATATAGTGCCCGTCCGCCAGCTCAATGGGCAGTGGGGTCTCAGAAAAGGAACAGTGGTCACTGCCAGAATTTTTTTCTGGCAGAAAATTTCCCCTCAGTTCTTGCTCTGATGCCAGACAATTCAGTTTCTCCCCTTATGTCCCTGGTTCCTTTTACGCTGCTGCTCAGCGCTGGAGCTCAGAGGGAGTGAGTCTGAGTAAGTTCATGTGTGAGCCCTTTAAGAGGAACTGTTTGGGACTCCAGCAGCCTCTGTCTCAGCCACAATCCCTGCTGGTTTTCACAGCCAGAAGTGACGGGGACTTCTCTTCCTGGCTCTGGGCTTGGGAGGCCTGGTGTGGACCTGGGAACCCTCACTCCTCAGGGGGGACCTCTGTAGCTGACACATCCCTCCCAATTTTATTTTATTTTTTAAATCTTCTTGATTTTTTTACAGAGTGAGAGTGAGCAAGAGTTAGTGTGTGTAGAGTGTACGTGTGGGCAGAGGGGAGAGAGAGAGAGACATTGATATGAGAAAGAAACATTGTTGGTCGCCTCCCACATGCGCCTCAACCAGGATCAAACCCATAAACTGGGTTTGTGCCCTGACCAGGAATCAAACTGCCACCTCTTGTTGTGTGGGATGACACCCCAACCAAGCAGGCCACACAGGCCAGGGCTCTTCCAATTTCATATATAAGCCCTTGGCTAAATTTAAAAATTTTGTAAATATTTTGGAAATGGTATCTCAAAATATACTGGTTATTAGTCCAATTTGACTTCATCTTAGTAGAAACTGAAGTGTTTCTACTTTTTTTTATTACCAGGAATGTAAAAGAGAGAAACACAAGTTGATACGTTTATTTTTGGGTAATTTCATGGTTTTCATTGCTAAGGAAAGGCACAGATTGTTTAAGAAATAAAAAGATCCAATATAAAACCCAAAGGCTTTATTCCCTAATTCTTATTAGGCCCAAAGTTCAACTGATTTGAAAATAAATAATTAAAACATTTCTTCCCAGAAAGTACACTATGGCACCATAATAGACTAGGCCCCATGTCCTACATCCTATGCAACACAAGCAGGGACTGCAGCCTGACGACAGGTCATCACTGAGGCAGAGCCGCTGGCTGCCGCGTTCTTGCTGCAGGGCCGCCCGCTGGGCACTGTGGTCCCACACGTCGCTACACGATGTGCAGGACTTTGAAGGCAGCCACGGCCTGCTTTTCCCTCTCGTGTCTGCTCTGCAGGACGCCCAGCAGTGAGATGTCAGGTAACGTGCCTTCTGCAGCCGAGGCTGGGTTTTTCGTTTCCTTGGATGCTTGATCGGCCAGGTTTGAAGGTTTGGGTTTGGGGATGGTCTTAGCATATTCCAAAGCCTGAAAGCATACAGGTAAAACTTTATTTGAAATGGGAGTGAGCCCTGGATTCTTCAAATTAACTCTGGTCTTAGGGAATATTTATTGATAATGTAAGTGAAGACTATTGTTACAATAATGTAATAAGATGTGGATGGACGTGGAGATCAAATGGAAAATGCAAATAATGCAGTATACCCTACAGCTTCAACAAAATAAACCAGCCACACAAGAATTAGCTATTTAAAGTGCCTTCTGTAGTTATTTATAAAGCAGAGGCTTACTCAGTGCTTGAAAATAGACTTGCCGTGTATTTGACCTAGTTAGCTCTGGCAGTCTCGTTAAAACCAAACTTATCACCAGGAGATATTTACAGACCTTTCTGTCCAAAGAGGCCTTGTTACTGATTCAGACCAAGATTCACTCTAGAAAATCGCACTGCCATTGTGACACCAGCTGTTCTTGCTCCTGGGCTCTCAGAAGTCTAGCAAGTACTTATTAGAGGTTAAAAATTATTATTTTTCTTTTTTCGTATACTATCTAAACCTGGATACTGGAAAAGGCAGATTTTTTCTTTTCTGAGTGATGTCAGTTCTAAAAGGCATTACAATAAAATGATATCTCTAAATATGATTTCTAAATCTGCCTTTATATCAGTTTTATATTTTCATAAGAATTTATTGACGGCTAAAACAGGAATGGATGGTATGGAAGTCCTAGAAAGGAAAAAGCACACCCTCAGAACAGAAGCTGCAGGCTTCTCAGTATGTGCAGTGACTTCTCTGTGAGTTTCTAATGACAGACTTGTTGTCTGGAATCTCGTTATAAAAAATTAATGGATTGGAGAAGAAAATAAAAAGTGGCACCGTGATAACTCAAGCGGATGGAGGCTGCAAGGCCTGAGGAAGGGAGGCAGTAAATAGAGACACATGCTGGTCTGTGAAGAGAACAGGTATGCACTCCTGCAGGCGCCCAGGTCCCGCGGCCTTCCCGGCCTGAGCAGACCTGCTGGGCAGAGCTCCCGTCTCCACGGAACACATTTCCTTCACGTCATGTCTGGGTTGGAGGACTATGGCTGTGAGAGAGAATCTGTATTTTATGAAATCATTTTTCTTGGATAGAGGAAGCTATATATGACAACCCCTTGGGAAACATGTAGGAGAATGAACTTGAGAGAAACAATGAAGGCCTTTGCTTTGACGTAGGCCCCATAAACAGCATGAAAACACCATTGCCTCAAGGCTTACTTAACCGTAGAGACAAAACGGACGGAAGAAACTACCAATCCTGATTAACTAAGAAATCACCCTCCTGCTTGATTTTTATTGTGTGGCAATCTTGGAATACTACACTTAGAAGAAAACATGTAGATGAATGAAGGCAATAATGAACTTCAGGAAGAGGAAAAGGCTAACCCTGCAGCACCATATGTGTGTCTATCGTGTTTACATCCGTGTCTGTGACTGGTGGGCAGCGGCAGGGATGGTGGCAGCTAAAACATGCCCCGTGTTCAACAAGCGTGGGGGAGCTCATTAAGTTGTGAGGCAACGAAGCTTTCTTTTAATTCTAATCAAAAGGGAGCGGCCTCAGCGAGTCCTTACCTTCTGCCGAGAGATGGCGGGGCTATTCTCGGCTTTCGCTGTTTGCGGGTTTGAGAGGAGGGAGAGCGTCTTCATGTTGTACTCCTTCACCTGCTTTGCGTATTCCTTTTGCTGTCTCAGTTTCTGCATCTATTCAGAGAAACAAAGTGACAAGGACTCGCTGGTGCTGCCAGGTCTTCGTTCTCTATTTAAAGCCTCTCAGCCACACAGGGAGGGCGAGCAGTGAGATGGTTAAGTTGATGTTTCTCCCGGAAACAGCCTCTAGGGGGGGCGGGGGGGGGTGGCACATGGCTGCATAGCACACCCAGGGGCCCCTTCACGGCGGCTAAATCACATTCAGCCTCTTCTTTGTTGCATTTACCCATTTATTTTCATTTTTGCTTCCAACTTTGAACTGTACTCTCTTTTTATGCCTTGAGTGCAACTGCAGTTAAAACACATTAAATGAAGATCTCCTTTCACGGAGGAAAGAGAATAAAGTGGGTGCACTTTTCATGGGCTGGGAAACCCTTAGCCTAAGTGTCCTCCCTGCAGCCACTGTGCACAATTACCAAGATGACTCCAGGGAAAGCCCTGCGCGCACGTGGCTCGCGCGCCTCTCTTCAGGCGCACGCCCCACTTCTCTGCTCAGGCCTTCAAAACCGAAAGGTGGATACGAAAAACAAGATTGCTAAGTAATTTTATTTTACAGTAAGAGAAATGCCTGGGTCTCTATTACCGGTGATATTTCAGAAGTGTCTCTATTCAGAGTGAGACACTTGAATGAGGGCTTGGTTCTGGGGGGCATCTTATACATTTTTGCTAAAAGACAGATGGGCAAATCCCGGCCTGAAAACACACTGCATGCACGCCACACTCACTTTATCTCTGATGGACTCAAGGTCAGGTCCAAGGCCTCCAAGCTTCACGTCTCTTTTCTGATAACCTTTCAGCTTGGAACTCTAAAAACACATTCACAGAGACAGTTTCTTTAAGGACTTGTCTGCCCTCCACCGTTGTCACAGCCACCACAGCAGCAGGGGAGGGGAGGGGTGCATTTCCTGGCAACCCTCCGCTCTAATGGCAGTTACTGGCAATAGTTTCTTTGGTATTTTGTAGCTGGTTAGCTAACATGTTTTCACCTTCCACTTCTGAAATTAAAAATTTGAAATCTGAACATCATAAATAAAAAATCTCAAGTGAGCAAAGTGCTGTTTTGTTGTTAACCTTTTTAATATACTGGTAACATGTACATGACCACTTTGCTGCTGCTATTAATTTATGTATAGTCTTTTAAAAAATAAATTTTTATTGATTTCAGAGAGAAGGGAGGGAGAGATAGAAACACCAATGATGAGAGAGAATCACTGATTGGCTGCCTCCTGCATGCCCCCTAATGGGGATCGAGCCTGCAACCCTGACATGTACCCTTGACCAGAATTGAACCTGGGACCCTTCAGTTCACAGATCAATGCTCTATCCACTGAGCCAAACCAGCAAGGGCAGCAAGTTGGTTTTAATATCAAAAGCAGCAGTTTGAAGAATACCTTAATTTATCCTACAGTCAGGAGAGTATTTGAGTTTTTCCTGCCTGTTACTGTGCTCAAGTGTCATAATCAATTGCCTCATGTTACTTTGTCCCTTCAAAGATAAAAAATACTAATAAGAGTTATGTAAAATTAATTGCACCCTTTAAAATATCCAACTCACACTGAATCAAATGAGTTTCTCCATAGGTCGTGCCTAGACTCTTATTGTCTTTTGAATATTATGACATCACTAGAGGCCAGGTGCCCGAATTTGTGCATGGGTGAGGTCTGGCCGACCCTGCCCCTGATCAGGGTGGGTGGGGCCAGCCAGCCCCGCCCCCTGGTCGAACTCCCAATTGAAGGGACAATTTGCATATTAGCCTTTTATTATATAGGATTATTATATAGGATGTTTCTATTTCTCTCTCCCTCTTCCTTCCTATCTGAAATCAATAAAGAAATATATTTTAAAAACAAACAAAAAATCAACGTGCTGCTTATAGCACATGCCCTTGTGGGGAAACCAAATCTTTTTTTTTTTTTAGTTTGTGAGTTTATTTGGTTTCTTTCCTTGGGGAGGATAGAGGACAATGCCAAAAAGATGGCTTGGATGACAGTACTTCTCTTAGGGCACATCCTGGTTGGTGCTGAGTTTGGTGGGAGGGAGGAATAGCCACACCGAGGTGGTGACGCTGTAGGGCCATGAGGGTACTGTCTGTATCTCCGGACCAGGCATGGTATTCTTCTAATTTTGAAAGCTCCTGTGAATGAAGTCCTAAGGCACACAATTAATCCAGGTGCCCTTTCCATAGATAGAATTTGGCAGATAGTCCAGAGACTTAACCACCACCACCACCACCACCATTTCCTCATGTTAAATACAGTTACTGTGTATAACTCCCAGACCTCAGCAGTGAACTGATGTCCACACATTGTACCAACCATCACAAGGTGTTTACTCACAGAGGCCTCTCGACTGACTACCCGGAGGTCATACCCATTAGTGTCTCCGTTGCCATTTCCCATTTTGGAGGCTCGGAGCCAAATACTCTTTTCACAAAGACACTGAGCACCAAGTTCTGGCCCATGAAGTATGAGTGACAGTTTTCTGGATTGGGTTAGAGCAGTGGTTCTCAACCTGTGGGTCACGACCCCTTTGGCGGTTGAACGACCCTTTCACAGGGGTTGCCTAAGACCATCCTGCATAGCAGATATTTACATTATGATTCATAACAGTAGCAACATTTCAGTTATGAAGTAGCAATGAAAATAATTTTATGGTTGGGTCACAACATGAGGAACTGTATTTAAAGGGCCAGAAGGTTGAGAACCACTGGGTTAGAGGATGCATCTGAGAAGGTGTTTATGTGGCCTGGGGCAGCCCACCCCTTTCCTTTTACAAGAGACAAGTGATGTGATTTCTGGAGCTGGAGCTTCAGAGGCAACCTTGTGGCAGGAAAAGAAAAAAGGACAAAAGAATTATACAGACACTGGTTCTGATGTTTTGAGATGTAGAACCATTATGCTAGCAACTACTTACTTGTAGATTAATTGTAAGAAAAATGAACCCATATTTTTGAAGTTGCTGTGAATCTTAATTCTGTGACTTGTAGCTGAAGGGAAAATTTCTATGGTACTACAGCATGTCTACGGCACCCGCCATGCTTCAAAGGGCCAGCATCATGTGCCACAGCGGCAACACTTCTACACTGCCAGGAGAAAAAGTTCTGAAAATAGAATCTGCCCAATGAGAGTGATAAACATTTATAGTCAAAACTCTTTCAGTGCATCTAATTCCAAAAGGTGAGAGAAGATACTTTCCTAAAGAAGCCTTTGGACTACCGTAAAATCATTAAAAATCAACAACAATAAGGTGTATAGAATAAATATTATTCATTGATGGCATTTCAAAACCATACTCGCCTTTAAGAAGAGAGTCACCCCCCAGCAAAACCACCACAGTTGTTTCTGCCCTTTAGATCTATTTGTTCATATTTTTATAAAATTGTCACTATGATACAATTTATTTAATTTTTTTCACTAAGCAGTTTAGCATTACACTGTATTTTGCTATCACTATTTTTGCTATCACTATATTTTGAAAATGTGCCTTTTTTGTGGTTGCCTACAAAAGACATTTACAAAAATTTAAGTATAGTTGGTATATAATCTTATATTGGTTGTATTGGTTTTAGTGATTCAACATTTTTTTACCTTACAAAGTGATCACTCATTAATTACAGTATTTATCTGTCACCATGCCAACTTACTGGTCATAATATTATTGACTATATTCCCCTTCCCTTTTCACCCATCCTCAACCCCTGCCCTTCTGCTTACCATCCCTTTGGTCTCTGTTTCTATGAGTGGTTTTTTGTTTGTTTGTTTTGCTTTGTTTTAAGATTTCACATATAGCCCCAGCTGGTTTGGCTCTGTGGTTAGAGCGTGGGCCTGCGGACCGAAGGGTCCCAGATTCGATTATGGTCAAGGGCATGTACCTCGGTTGCAGGCTCCTCCCCTGCCTGGGCCCTGGTCAGGGCTCATGCAGGAGGCAACCAATCAATGTGCTTCTCTCACATCAATGTCTCTCTCTCTGTCTCTCTCTCTTCCACTCTCCCCAAAAATCAATGGAAAAATATCTTCGGGTGAGGATTAAAAAAAAAAAATTCCACTTTTAAGTGAAACCATAAACCATACTGTATATGTCTTTCTCTGTCTACCTTATTTCACTTGGCACAATACCCTTTAGATTCATCCAGGCTTTCGCAAATAGCAAGATTTCATTCTTTTTTATTGCTATGTAATATTCAATTGTATAATACATTATATCTATATCTATATATCTATCTCACTTCTTCTTTATCCATTAATCTACCAATAGACACCTGGGGTGCTTCCGTATCTTGTCTATGGTAAATAATGCAGCAATGAACAGGGGGTACATATATCTTTTTGAATTAGTGTTTTCATTTTCTTTGGATAAATATCCAGAAGTGGAATCTCAAATATTGTTTTACACAGTGGCTGCACTAATTTGTATTCCCTACTAACAGTGCATGAGGGTTCTTCTTTTCTCCAGATCCTTGCCAACACTTGTTGTTTGTTGACTTGTTGACAGCCATTCTGACTGGTGTGAGATGATATCTCATTGTGGTTTTGATTTACATTTCCCCGATGTTGAGCATTTTTTAATATGTCACTATTTGCAGATAACATGATACCATATATAGAAGACCCTAAGAATCCACCAAAAATTAAGATAATTAATAAAATAATTCAGTCAAATATCAGGATACAAAATTAATATACAGAAATCTGTCATGTTCCTATCCTATATAATAGAAGCCTAATATGCAAATTGTCCCCTTGACCAGGAGTTCGACTGGAAATTTGACCAGGGGACGGGGCCGGCCAGCCAGCTCCCTGTGGCCCCTCCCCCTGGCCCTGGGTGGCAGTGGTGGTGGCAGGCAGCCAGGGGAAGGGTGGCCCTGGCCGGCAGCTGGCAGCCACTAGGGACCCTACTTGTGCACCAATTTTGTGCACTGGGCCTCTAGTACAATAATAATGAACAATCAGAAAAAGAAATGGAAAAAACAATACCATTCACAATTGCATCAAAAAGAATAAAATACCTAGGAATAAATGTAACCAAGGAGGTGAAAGACCTGTACTCTGAAACCATAAGACACTGAGGGAAAAAATGAAGAAAACCCAAATAAATGGAACAATATACCATGGATATATGGAATCACAAAAGACCCTGAATAGCCACAGCAATCTTGAGAAGGAAAAACAAAGTTGGAGGTATCAGGCTCCCCCATCTCAAATTATACTACAAAGGTATAATAATCAAAAGAGTATGGCACTTGCACAAAAATAGACATGTACATCAATGGAACAGTATAGAGACACAGAAATAAAGCCTCACTTATGCTGTCAACAATGTGTGACAAAGGAGGTAAAAATATACACTGCAGTAATGACAGTCTTTTTAAAAATATATATATTTTTATTGATTTCAGAGAGGAAGGGAGGAGAGAGAGATAGAAACATCAATGATGAGAGAGAATCATTGGTTGGCTGCCTCCTGCATGCCCCCTACTGGGGATTGAGCCCTCAACCTGGGCATGTGCCCTGGACCAGAATTGAATCTGGGACCCTTCAGTACGCAGGCCAAATTTCTACCCGCTGAGCCAAACCAGCTAGGGCATGACAATCTTTTTAACAAGTGATGTTCGGAAAACTGGACAGATACATGCCAAAAAATGAAACTGGACCACTCTATTACACTATATACAAAAATAGCCTCAAAATGGACCAAATACTTAAATGTAAGGCCTGAAACTATAAAACTCCTAGGAGATAACATAGGAAATAAACTATCTGACATCGGTCTGAGTAATATATCTTTAAATATGTCTCCTTGGGCAAGGGAAACAAAGCAAAAATAAATAAGACTACATCAAACTAAAAAGCTTCTGCACAGTGAAAAGAAACATCCAATTAGATAAAAAGGCAATCTACTGAATGGGAGAATACCAGGTATATTCACAAATTATATATTCCATGAGGGATTGATATCCAAAATATATAAGAAACTTATACAACTCAATAACAGAAACAAAAACAATGCAATTGAAAAGTGGGCAGAGGACATGAAAAGACTTTTCCCCAAAGAAGACATAGACATATGAATAGATGCTCAACATCACTAATCGAACTGTGATTTTTTATTGTTGTTGTTGTTAACCATTACCCAAGGATATTTTTCCATCCACTTTTAGAGAGAGTGGAAGGGAGGGGGAGAGACAGAGAGAGAAACGTGGATGTCAGAGAGACACCGATTGGTTGCCTCCCGCACACGACCCAACCACAGCCAGGATGGAGCCTGCAACCCAGGTAAGTGCCCTTGACCAGAATCAAAGCCAGGACCCTTCAGTCTGCAGGCTGATGCTCTATCCACTAAGCCAAACCAGCTAGGGCCAAAATGTGATTTTTATGCATAACATTCTATTGTCTAGTTATAGTTGAATTATGTAGTGATTGCTCCAGTTGTCAAACATTTAAGATGTACTAGGAATGAGAATTGTTTATGGGCCACTCTGATGTTTTCTTTGAGATAAATTAAGAGAAGCGAGATTATGTACACAAAATCACAAACATAGTTAAGGTTATTAATGAACTTCCATTAAACATGTATAATAACACTCTTTTTGAACGAAATAAATGAACAAACAAAATTGAAACAGAATCATAGACACAGAGACCAGACTGGTGATTGCCAGAAGGGAGGCAGGTGGGGGTTTGAGGTGAGTTAAGAAGTACACATTCTGTACTTACAGAAGAGTCACAGGGGTGTAAAGTACAGCACAGGGAATATAGTCAATAACATTCTAATAACTATGTACGGTGCTAGGTGGGGACTGGAAATATCAGGAGAACACTTTGTAAAGCATATGATTGTTTTATCACTATGATGTACACCTGAAACCAATCCTATCTAATAAAGACAGAATATGCTAATTGACCCTCACACCATCGCAAAAGATGGCAACACCCACAGCCAATAATGAGGGAATATGTTAATTGACTGCCATGCCTTCAAAGATGGTAGTGCCCACAACCACAAGATGGTGGCACCCAGTCCCCTTAGCCCCACCGGGGCAGCAGGCGTGAGGCACTTGGGGGTGGGCCCGGCCTTGCTGTGTGCCTGCCTCCAGAGTCCCCCAGTCCCTTCAGCCCCCCCAGCTGCCCAGGGCTGCCCGAGGCTCAGGTAACCAGGGCCGGCTGAGGCTTGCGCTGCCAGCAGTGGCAGCAGCAGAGGTGTGATGGGGGCATCACCTTCCCCTGATCGCTGGGTCACCTCCTGCCCCTGAGGGCTCCCAGACTGAGAGAGGGGGCAGGCTGGGCTGAAGGACCCCCTTCCAGTGCATGAATTTTCATGCACTGGGCCTCTAGTCTATATTATAAAAGGCCTGCGGCTGTAACGCCATAATGCCGTAACGACCAATCACCAGGAGTCTGGGTCCCGCTGGCACAGTGGGTCTGGGTCTCGTGCGATTTCGTGTGCTGGGCCCCTAGTCTATATATATATAAAACCCTAGTATGCAAATAGACTGAACGGCAGAACACCCAAACAACCGGTCACAATGACATGTGCTGACTACCAGGGGGTGCACATGGAACACGGTGGGCATTGGCAGCAGGCGGCAGAGCGCTGAACATGGTGGGCATCGGCTGTGGCGGGATGGTGGAGCAGGTGAGCGGGTCGCCGGTCGCTGTCATCGGGGTGAGCCTCTGGTGGTTACTGAAAATTCTTTGCTCCCACACACTGTGGTCTCACTGGTCCTTCACACCTGCTGTTGGCGACGGCCCCACTTGCACCCGTTGTTGGTGCCGGCCCCGCTTGCACCCACAGCTGGCACCAGAGCTGCTGGTCACACCTGCTGCCAGGGCTCGGTGAGGGTCCTGATCACTTGGCGCTGTCAGTGGGTGTGAGCGGCGGCTGCTGCCCCGATTGCCCCTCAGGAGCAGGGAGAGTGGAGAAGCCCTCAGGGGCAATCGGGGACAGCAGCCACTGCTCACACCACTGATGGCACTGGCCCCACTGGCACCTGCTGCTGGCACCAGCTCCAATAACTTCGCGCCATCAGTGTGTGGGAGCAGCAGCAGTGGGAGCGGGGCTGCTGGCAGACGGGGGACCAGGGGCTGTAGCAGGAGGGGCCGGACGGGGTCCTGGAGGATGGGCTGAGACCCCTCCCTTTGCCCACTGCAGCCGAGAGGCCCACAGTTCCTTTCAAGGTGCATGAATTCGTGCACTGGGCCCCTAGTACAAAATAATACTAAAAGTAAACTATAATTGAAAAATGTAAAAATAAAACAATAAGTAATAAAAATCATATGGTATTTAAAAGGCAAAAAACAAGACAAAAAACACAAATGCTCTTTTTGTCTAAACCTGGATTATGCTGGTTATTATCACATTTAAAAACCTTTGTTAATTTTTAATAGGTGAGCGAGCTCCCATCTTACCTAATAATAGACAAACATGAAAATTGACCGTACCTTTGCTATGCTAACCAGCCAATCAGGAGAGCATGCAAATTAACCCCACAAAGATGGCAGTTAATTTGCATACATAGGCTCTAAGTGGCGGAGCAAAGCTGGATGGCCCTGGGGCCAGAGCAGCGGACGGTTCTGGGGCCAGAGCAGTGAAGCCAGATGGCTTTGGGGCCGGCTCCAGCCGGAGCCCGGCCAGAGTGAAGGCCTGGGTCCCGGGTGCTAGAGGCAAACTGGTGCTAGCAGCCAAGGGAAGGGAAAGCCTATTGCACAAATCTCTTCCTATATAACAAAAGGCGTATATGCAAATAGACTGAATGGTGGAACAAACAAACCACTGGCTTCTATGACATGCACTGACCACCAGGGGGTGCACACGGAACATGGCGGGCGTCAGCAGCAGGCGGCAGAGCACGGAACATGGTGGGCATCAGCCACGGCAGGATGGTGGAGCAGGTGGAGTGGGGGCACCAGACCAAGGAGGGGCACTAGTCACTGTCATCAGGGTGAGCCTCTGGTGGTTACTTAAAATTCTTTGCTCCCATGTGCTGCAGTCCTGCCCTAAACTCGCACCCGCTGCTGATGCTGGAGCCGCTGCTCGCACCCATGGCTGGCACCTGGTGCTGGCTCTGATCCTTCGGCACTGTCAGCAGGTGCGAGCAGCAGCTGCCAGCCCCGATTGCCCCCGAGGGCTTCTCCACCTCCCCCTGCTCCTGAGGGGTGATCAGGGCAGCAGTCGCCGCTTGCACCTGCTGACAGTGCTGGCTCCACTTGCACCCGCTGCTGGTGCCGACCCCA